ATCTTTGCTCAGAAACCCTCTTCGTTTGAGACAACACTTTTCCAAGGTTTTTATTTTCCGGCAGTTTTTATCTTCAAGTAACTTTAGTCGCTGTGGACTTTTCCTTCTTCAGAAGAACCAGAAGTAAAACTTCCAGCTCACTCCTAACGAACTCATCAAAGACCTCCGTTGTCTACCGCATCCGGACTCTTCTTCAGCAATCGAAACCAATGCAAGTAACCGTTTACAATTATTTAGATGCGTGTTTAAGTTTCAGCCCCTTTTAAGGTGATTTTTGATTCTCTGATGTTTCTCAAAGGTTGTGTCTAAAATTGATGTGAAATACTGCCATCCTTTTCTTTTTTTTATGTGTTTTGCTTAGTTAGTTGTATGTTAGATATAGTTTCATTTATTAAATCCCTTATATTCACCACTGATTGTCTCTGTTTGCTGCTCACAATTCAAGTCAATGAATGTTCCAACCCTTGCTACATATGTTAAATTACTGCTAGCACTGCATAAATAAGAAAAGATTATTCTTCCTTGGCCAGGAAAATAATCTTTCTTTGAATTGATAAATTATTATTTTGTCTGCTCAGTGGACGGACAGATCAAGTAATGGTAATATTGATTCTGCTACAGTTAATTCAAAGATCTAATCTAAATATTTATTATTAATCATAACCAGTTATAATTAGTCATAAATATTCCCCTTTTTGAGCTGAAAAACCCTACAGAATGTTTCTCATGGCATACTGCAAGGCTGTAACCATGTCTTGAACATTGGAGGAGGGGACCAATTAAATACAATGGTGAAGGAAATTATTGTTGTCAAATATTAAATATTTAGCTACTTCTATCTTGCCTTGCTCTCTTTCGATGTTAAAGGGGACGTTGGATGCAAAATTCACTTTTACATGATGTTTGCATATAAATGTGTCTTAGTAGTGTGTGGACATAACCACCCTACAATGATAAAAACCTTTTTTTTTAATCCCCAAAAAACCTAAACAGTCTCAATTATCAAGCCATTTTGATGAGCAGTTTGACGTCATACTGCTCAGGCCACGCCCACAACCAATAACGGACTGAACTGTTTTAGCATATTTCCGCCCTCAGTCAGTTGTACGCTGTCCGCCATTTTCTCCGTGCTCTAGCAGCTGTAGCAACAACAATGTCACATAAGCATTGCAGGTGTTCTGCTGGATGTAAAAGTGAACATGAGTCTTTATTTTTCTCCCGACATCAGAGCCACTGAAGTCGCAGTGGATTTGTTTTGTTTTTGATGGTAGTGTGCCCGAATACACAAAAAATGGAAGAGAGGGGTGGAGTGAACCGTAGCTCATTATCATTTAAAGAGACATGCACCGAAACGGGTCGCTATGAACAGAGCTGTTTTTGACAAGGTAAAAAGGTCAGTTTGGCCATTTCTAATTTTTGAGGGGACTTGTCCCCCCTCTATGTCTATGGTGGTTATGGCCCTCACATACTGTATACTGTTTAAAAAATAGGCAATATACAGTGCATATTGTGCAGCATGCAGTCAACAGTACACAAGATTTCCATTCCGAACACAAGCCATGGTTTATGTTCGAGAGTGGAAGGATAAATCATTGTAGCTGCTTTCAGAACCTCTTAGTAGCGAGGCATTACATTTTGATACAAATTTTACATCACACTACAGAGCACATCGCTGTAGCAGCGGCATTTGCTTTTTGCTGCAGTTGCTCGAAACTGCAACATCTACTCAGTGACAGGTGTTCAGCAGCAACTTCAGATATCGAACGCTGCTGTTCCAGTTCCTTATGAGCCTGGATTGCATTTACAGTAAGAACTGGAGATTGAGTTTGCTTCGAATAGCCAAATCAAATCCTAGACCGTTCGCATGCTCTTTTCGCCAGCTTCTCAGTCTGCCTGCCAAAGGCTTTGCCTTCTGCATTCCCTTTAAATTCATTCAGCTAACACAAATCAGATTGAATATCTAGTACAAAGAAATAAGTCTCCCTTACTGTTATCGACAATCTTTTCCCTTATATGATCTGGAGATGTGTGTGCTTGAGTGTACCAAAGCACGCCATTGATATTTCTGAAATTAAAATACATATTTAATATCGCAAACTAATTGTTTTGAAAGTGGGTTCATTTCCTCATGACAAGTAATTTGATTCTGGGTTGGCACTAAAGTGGCAGTGGCACGGCGTCAGACGATAATCAAAGAAGACAAGCTATTCCATGCACTCTCTCTGGTAAATATCATTTTCACGGTGATAAAAACATCATTTGAAGCTGTTAAACATAATGGGCTGTTTCAAT